AAAGATTGTTTATTAATTTTTTAAACTTTAAACTAATTTAGTTGAAAATATCAATTAAATAGTAAACAGTACTTACTATTGCTTACTTTATGCTATGATATTAAAAACAGATGACGATTCACAATCTTAGGATTTAATCAAAAGTGGAATGAGCAGATGGAATAAATATCAAATTAACCAATGATACCAAAGAGAGAGGGAGAGAGAGAGGGAGAGGGAGAGAGAGAGAGAGAGAGAGAGGAGAAAGCGATTTAATGGTTGGAAGAAGTAAATATGTAAATTTGTTTACAGCTTTTACTTACAGAAGCCAAATGTATTTCTCATTAGAGTCTCATTCAAAAAGCATATCTGTTTGAGATTTAGCTATATCTTAGGGTCAATTTTGTAACCATTGTTTACTTCTTTGTTCACATACACACACACACACACACACATACACACATGCATACATACTCAGACAGACACAGACGGACATACAGACATACAAAAATAATTGTGATAAATAATAATGATAATCATATATATAGCAAAGCTTTTGTATTTATAAAAGCATTAATTAATGAATGAATCATACCTCAAAGGATGAGTCATTCTTCCGTTGACAGTATGAATGACAAAGGTTAGAATTTTAGTATGAAAAATTTTTGGCATAAAAAAATTTCCAATATATAAAAATAATTTCCAGAAATAAATAATGATAATTTATTTATTTTTAAAAGTTATTATCATTTTAAAAATTTGAATTTGAAATGTTTAACTAACAATTTTTAATAATTTTTTATTTGCAAATTTAACTTTTGAAGAAAAAATTTATTTTAATTTAAATTTGAAGTGCTGATTAATAATTGATAATTTCTTATGGTAAAGTAAATTGTTAACACATTATTATTTTAATTTAAATTCGTCATGTTAAATTAATAATTTATAATTCTTATTGTGAAGCAATTTGCTAAACTGTTTTTTTTTTCAATTTAAATTTGAAATGTTAATTAATAATTTGAATAAAGCTTCCTATTATAAAATAACTTTTGAAGTTATGCAAAGTAACGAATTATGCAAAAAATAATCTTTCCTTTTTTTTTTTTAAGTATTACTTAACATATATTTTTAATCATTCAACATTTTCAATATATTATAGTTATCTGAGAATATTTAAGATCATTTAAAAATTATTACTTTAGTTTTTTGATTTCCTATAAAGCATATAAATTTGAAAAAGGCATTTTTGCTAAATATATTAAAATTATATATAAGAATACAAAAATATTTGAAAATGATCGAAAACATATGACAAAAATTATTTGAAACATTTAATTAAAAACCTAAAAAAATTTTTTTTAAAATATCATATGGTCGACTTTACTTTTTATGAAAAATAAAAAATGGAGTAAAAATTAAAATTTTCAGAAAAAATTAATTTTTATTAATTCACTCAAATATATTCTCTGTGAAATGCAATGCTTTAGATATGCATAACAATATTAAAAAAATTATTTGTAAATTAAAAATTGAAATTAATAAATTATTAACAAATAATAATTTATGAAATTAATGATATAAATATGCCAAGATATTATAAATCAATTATTTGCAACATTTTTTTTCCTATTATGTTTATTATTTTAATTTCTATTTAATCATCTTTAATTTTTATTTCGTTCTTATGCAATTTTGCAAAATGTATACATTTTATTATAAAATTATTATAAAATTTATTATAAATTTTATTTTAAAATTATTATAAAGAAATAATCATTGTGTAACTATTTCAAATAATAATGTAAGTATTATTTTAAAACAAAGTTTCCTTTCGTTTTTTTTCTTTAAATTTAGATTAAAATACTTTTTCTAATAATAAAATTTTCATCAATTTCTTCCTTTTCCGTTTTTTTTCTTTTCATTTTTATTTCAATTGAATAAAAATTTTATTTTACACAAAAATTCACAAATATTATTTTAAAAGCAAATCGTAGAAATACAAAATTGATTGATTAATCGATTTGATTGATAATATTATTAATATTTAAAAAGAATTTCAAATATAATTAAGCAAAATATGCTAATTTTTATGACAAAATTATTCATTCTGACTATTTTGCATATGTCCCCCCAATGGAACTATCACAAAATTAAGCATTGATTTCTCTTTTTTCCGCATCATTTGAAATTTAAATATTTCATTTTTCATCTTTTATTTAAACAAAAATTTCATACTAACCCTTGAAAATGGTACAAATTTAATGATTTTATAAATGAATGTAACAAGCAATTATTATTCTCTGTGCTAATTTATACATTCATTAGACGAAATATAATAATTTGATCGCTAATAATCGATCATTTAAAAAAAAAAAAAAAAGGTGAATGAATGATCTTTTGTACTGATCAAAAATTATTTTTAATCTACTCAAATGGAATAATGCAGTTACTAATAGAATTAATGATGACATAATGCATAGAAGAGCATTAGTACCACGTGAACAATTAAATAATTTAGTTCATGTTATAGGTACTAATAACTCAATCTCTGCCGTAAATATCATTTTGATATGTGCCGAAAATTCGGCTCATCCAATGCTTAATGATAATTTAGTTCAGTTGATAAATGCTGAAAGTCCCGTTTATATGATATCTATTGATAATTCACTTTATATAATAAGTATTATCGTCAGTGATTCATTTCATGCATTACGTGCTAATAATTTATTTCGTACACTACGTGGTACTTCAATTAATACAGTACGTATTAATAATTTATTTCGTATGATGCGTAATTCAATTCGTGGAATACGTGGTGGTAATTTAATTCACGGAATACGTAATGTTTCAGTCAATACGATACGTATCGATAATTTGTTTCGTATAATGCGTAATTCAATTCATACAATATGTGCTAATAATTTAATTCGTCGTATTTCTATTAATGCAATACATATTGATAATTTATTCCGAAATAATAGAATGCGACGTCTTTCATTTAATGCGTTACGTATCGGTAATTCATCTCGTATGATTTCTGATCCAATTCGTGAAGTACGTGATATTTTACCTAATACAACACGTAGCAATAATTTCTTTCACATACTGTGTGATTTCTTTCATATGATACGTAATCCAAGTTATACAAGACGTATTAGTAATTTACCACGTACGTCAGATGTGAATAGTAATGTACCTCAGTTGAGAAGTGCTTTAAATTATTCATCTATTTCATCTGTTTTAGCACAATATGGCATTCAAACTTATCCAATAAATCCTATATGTATAATTGAGCCAGAATTAAATGATGATGCTTTACATATTATACGTGAATATAGTATGATTAATGAGATACGTATTGGTGATTTACTTCATATTACACGTACGAGTGATTCAACTTATACATTATATATTGGTGATTTAACTTATGCAGTGCATAATGCTGAAGCATATCAAACGGTGTATATTAGTGATTTTGTTCGTGTAGTATTTTCTGGTAGTATACTTTATATCATACAATGTACAAATTCACTTCAAATGATGCGTAACTTACTTCACGCAGCGCATGCTTTTAATTCATTTCGGACAATAAGTGCAAGTAATTCAGTGCATGCTAATAGTGCTGCATCACTTTATATGATACGTATTGGTAATGTAGCGTATATGATAACAACAAGTGATTCAATTCACGTGGAATGTTTTGGTAATTTGTTTCATGTAACAAGTACACGTAGTTCAGCTAGTGCAATACGTACTTGCAATGTAGGTGAATCAGCTAATATAATGCGTGATGGTTGTAGTACAATTCTTGTTGTAAGTATTGATGGTCGTTCACATACCATACGTACCGATGGTTCAGTTTGTGCATTAAATTCCGGTCATCCAATTCAGGTGATACGTGTCAATAATTCAATTTATATGATGCGTACTGATAATTTAATAATCGTAGTATTTGCTGATGAAATACTACCATTGGTTGGTACGGGTAATTTACCTCCATGGATGATTGGTAATTCAGTTTATGTAATTTATGCTGGTAATTTTGTTTACGTATCACGTGATCAAAATTTATCATATGTGATACGAACGTATAATTTAACTCAAACGATGCGTGATGGCAATTCAATTTATGTGATACGTAATAATAATTTAGTTCATGTATTGTATACTACTAGACCAGCTAATAGAAGAAATAGGTAAATGTTAGTTATTTTATGATCGTCAAAAGTTTTTTTTTTTTTCTTTTTAAATAAAATTTAATTTCTAAAGTGTCTTCAGAAAGCATCAATTTTGCATATGAAACTTCTTGAAAGCATTAAACATTTTTTTAAAAACTTTTTTTTTTTTTTTAAAGCTGAAATGATAAGCAAATAAACAACATTCAGTGCCTAAAATTTGATCATTTTTGTACTTAGTAGTTTTATCGATATGATTAACGATATGAAATTACTATTTCAAAATTTTTTAAAATTAAAAAATTAAAAAACAAAACAAAGAAAGGATGTAAATAAAAATGAAAGAAAAAGAAAATTAAAAAAAATCAAATTTTCCTTTTCAAAAAGAATTTTTTTTTTGATGTATTTGAATGATAACTGCTAATTAAACTTTGTTAAAATATTAGTTTTACTAAGATATAATCATTATCAGTCAGTTATCACATAAATACTTTTAAAATTTCTGATAAAAAAAAAGTTATCATTACAAGGAAATTATAAGAACAAAAAAAAGAAAAAAAAAATCGAAGAATCAGGAAAAGACGCAATTTTTCGACAGATTCAATAAATAAACAATTTCTTTTCCATCTGAGCGCACAAAGAACTATCACAGTTCATTTCACTGTACTCAACTTATCATACTCTGTTATCATTATCACCCATTCCCTCCTCTTTCAATCACTGATAACACTTAATGGTGTCTCTTCAACAAACTGAAAAGCTATCTTTGCTGATTGCATTTGATTATCAATGTCATCTTGGTATAAGGTTGTCAACCTATTCCTCTTCCTAAAGTAATATCATAAAATGAGTGATGCAAACACTAACCTAATGGAAAAAAAGTAAGATTTAAATTTCACATATTACTTTGTTAGCGATATTAGGAATAAATTTAAGTGATAATAATAATAAATAATAGTAATAATAATGAATTTTACAGTTTTTAATTACTTAGTAACACTGATAAGTTGCATTTATTAATTGATAAGAATTAATTAAAAAATTTTTTTTTGATTTAGTCATATTCCAAATTATGGGTCAACAACAAATTTGGTTGAAGAATTTCACTGTCATAGTGATGAGGGTGACAAGCCAACAACCGATCGACGAGCCATTCGTACTCTTTGGACATCTGCGATTATTTGCTTAATTTTTATCATTTCTGAAATTATTGGTGGCTATTTAGCTCAATCATTAGCAATTATCACGGATGCGGCGCATTTGGCATTATTTTACAACTTTTTTTTTTTTTAAATTTCAAAATGAAAAAAACTGTTTGAAAAAGAAAAATTTTTTTTCTTAGTTGAATATTTATACTTTTCTAATAATGAAAATTTTACATTTCATTTATTATACAAAAGAAAAATTTAATTTTTTTAAATTTTGAAAAAAAAAAAAAAGAAGAGAAAGAGAGAAATTTCAGTTAACTGATTTTGCCGGTATGTTGGTATCATTATTTGCTCTATATGTGTCCAAAAAACCCGCGTCACAACGAATGAGTTTTGGTTGGCATCGTGCTGGTAAGTTTTTATAAGTACATAATTAATACGTGAATATACGTGAATACGTCAATTTCAATTTTGATTAAATCAATTCTGATTTTTGTTTTTTCTTTCATTAGAACATATTCATTAATGGTAATAAAGTTGTTGAATTCAGTCATTTAATTTCAATTTTGATTAAATCATTTCTGATCATATCATATTCATTAATGATAATAAAATTGTTGAGTTCTGATATAAATTTTTTCATAAAATTTTCATTTAAAAATGCAAAAAAAAAAAAAAAACCTAAAATAGAAAAATGATTATTGAGCGTATACAGTTTAAGCATTTCTACCTTAATTTTTAGAAAAATTTAATAAAAAAAAGAAGTTATTAATAATAAATGAAAAATTTTTTAAATTTTTAAAAATTTTAATTCAAAATATTTATTAATGAATTAAAATAATTCAGAAGTAATGGGTGCATTCATTTCCGTTTTTATGATTTGGATCATAACCGGAATATTAGTTTATATGGCAATTGATCGAATCACTAGAGGTTCATATCATATTGATGCATCTATTATGGCAATTACTGCTGCACTTGGTGTTATCGTTAATTTCATGTAAAATTTATCAAATTTTAATTTTATCAAAAAATTTATCAAACAATTATTCCTCTCATAATTTTATAAATAATTACTATTTTAATGATTGCTGTTAAGAAAAATGGCTAAAATTTTAGCAAAAAATTAAATTTTAATTTTTAAATATTAATAAAAACGATGAAATAAACATATAAGTAATATCTGAACTTTCAATATTTATATTTATTAATGAGAAAAAAGAACAAACAAAGTGGATGAAATTAAATTTAAGATGGAGCAAAAAATTTAAATAATCCAAATTTTATCAACCATAAAAGAAAATAGTATTATTGTGTAATACTTAAAAAATGTATTATTAATTTTTATTTACATCTAATATTACTTAATTACTACAAAAATAAAATTACACATAGATTTTTTTTTTCATTTAAAAAATAATAATAATTTTAGTATGGCAATATTGCTTTATTTTGGTGGACATACACATTCTCATAGTGGTCATGCGCATTTGTCGCACTCTACAAATTCGCCTAATAGCGCCAACATTAACGTAAGAGCAGCAATGATTCATGTTATCGGTGATTTATTGCAAAGTATTGGAGTGCTTATTGCTGCATTACTTATTTTTTGCAATGTAAGTAAAATTTGCATTTTTTGAATTTGAAATTAAACAAAATTGATTTTTTGAAATTAAACAAATTTTTTGAATTTGAAATTAAGCAAAAGTTAAGTGCAAATTAGCAATTAATATGAAATAAATGATTCATATATTATATTTGCAATGATTATTTTTTGTAACATAAGTAAAGTTTACTCATTAAAGAAGTTAAAATTAATTTGCTAATTGTACATAAATTTAATCAAATTAATAAGTATAATCAAATTTATAAATAGAAAAAGTTTGCGAATAATTATTTTAAAGTATCTTAAATATTTTGAATAAGATTTGAATATTCAAGCAAAATTTTAATAGATTTTTTCAAAAAAAAAAAAAAATTATAAAGTATTTTTTTTTTGTTATAAATATTCACTTTGAAATCATAATTTAATTCTAATGGAAATTTGAAAATTTTTATATTTTTAGGATTCGTGGTCTATTGCAGATCCAATTTGTACAATAATTTTTTCAATCATTGTCCTTTGTACGACAATTTACATTGTTCGAGATGCAATGTTTGTCCTACTTGAAGGTTAATTATCAATACCATATATTAAAAATTCTTTTTTTTTTGCAATTCTTTTAAAAACTTTAAAATTTAAAAATATTTTTTAAAAACTTTAAAATTTAAAAAAAAATAAAATTTCATTTATAGCTAATAGACCAAATCACACTTTTCTATTTCTTTGAACACAAAAAATGAAAGATGAAAAAAAGAGAAAAAAAGTTTTTTCAAAAAATTGAAAAAATAAACTTTGAAATATGGAATGAAATTTTTACTAAAACAGTAAATATTTACTTTAAAGAATAATTTTTCTTTTTTTTTTAAAAAAAAGAGGATTTCTGCTATATTAGATTAGTTTAATGAATATATTTATATGTATATTGAAAATATTAAAAGTTTGGTATAAGTAAAAAAAAAAAAATTAAAAATGCTAAAAGTAATAATTACGTTTAATTAATTGTCTGTGAATGAAAAAAGAAAAAATGCATATTTTTTATTTTATTATAATTATTTTCATCAAAATATCTCTTAGTTACTTTCTATTTATTCAAAAAGTTAATTCTTATTTTAGATAATGAAAGTTTTTTATTATTTCACATTTTTATTTTATAAATTTATTCAAAAATTAATTTTATCAAAAAATTAATTTTTCATAATTCTTCCGGAAAACTAATTACTATTTTAGGTTCACCATCAAACATTAATTTTCGTACCGTATTTGATTCATTGGAGCAAATTAATGGTGTTGAAAAAGTGCATAATTTACGAATATGGTCATTAACGCTTGATAAGATAGCGATAAGTGTACATTTGGAGATTACACCAGGCGCAAATGCCCAATGGATTTTAAAACAAACAACGCAAATGTTACGAGATCAATATAATGTGATGGAAAGTACGGTGCAAATTGAGGGTTATAATCCGGAAAAGCAAGATTGTAATCGATGCATACCGCCACCTTTATAATTAATTAAATTTGAAATGAATTTAATAGCAGTAATACAGTTGATAATACATTCAAATTTCATCAATTACTTATAATAATAATAATAATAAATAAGAAATGAAAAATTTAAAATTACAATTATTTAGTTAAAGTTTTAATTTTGGCAAAAATTCTTTATATCATTTCTATTTTTTGTTAATACAAATTTCGCCTTACATTTTTTTATCAAAATATAATTGATTTAAATTTTAAATTTCAACAAAAAACTTTTGTTTTTTGATTTTATAATTATTGTATTTTATTTTGCATATAAGTTAGCATGAATTTTTCAAGCTCTAAATAAAATTACTATTTAATTAATTAATGACAAAAATTTATTGCATTTTAAATTATCTGCCATCAATTATTATTACTGATACTATTATTAATTATTATATTTTTACGAATTGATTGATTTTTTTTTTTTTGCACAAAAATAATTGATTAGTAGTAACAAAAGCTAACAAAAAAAAAAATTTTTAATTAATTTACTGCTTAAATATGATTAAATTAGTGATAGAAGGATTTGTTTAAGTCTTATTTACTTATTTTGTTCTTTTTAAAAAAGCATAAAATGCTTGTTTTTCTGATTTATTTCATTCTTCCATCTAAAAAAAATATAATTTTCACAATTTTTCTTCTGCTTTATTCTTTCAAACAAAATGTTTATTTGTTATTATGAAATGATAATAGAATAAATTTCAAAAAATTATTGTATCATTTAATTAGCAAAAAAAAAAAAGGAAGAAAGCACTGATACAATAAAATTAGAACATAAAAAGTAAATAAATAAATATTGGATGTAAACAATCTTACATCATGAATATTTATTAAATATTCTTACATCAATATGGCATGTTATTCATATAAAATATATTAAATACGTAGACAACGTGTAACGCAAGCGTCACGTAAGTTAATACAATGCACTTTTGCATTTTCCATTTTATTTAAGTAGAAAAAAAAACGTAAAAGCTTCAGTAGCAACCGATAATTAATTACTAAATGTAATTAAATAATCATTTTATGCAGAATAATTTCATTAATAATAATAAATATAATAAAATTTAATAATAACTTATTTAATAACAAAATGAAATTTGATTTATTCAAAAAAGAGAAAGAAAATAAATAACAAAGAAATTATTGAAATGAGCACATTAATCACATAAGGCATATTAAATACAACGTGTATATAACGCAACGTGTACGTACGTGTATAACGCAAAAATCATTTCTCAGATTTTAGCAATAATTGAAACTAATAAAAATAGGAAAAGAATATTTTGATGAGTTAAAATTTTTATAAACACTTTTAATTTAAAAAATCGAAAAGTGAAAATGAAAACTAAATTGCAACGAATAATTTTATTCTAAAAAGGATAAATTTTAATGAATCTAATATTAGTAAATGATTTTAATTAATATTTAAGTAACTCATAAGCCATTTAATACGAATCCTAGTTGTTCGTAATATTTCAAAAAATTTTTTTTTGAAATTCAAATTTCAAATGGATTTACTTCAAATGTAACTCAAAAATAAATTACTCAAAATCATTATATTAAAATTCGCCCTGAAATCTTTATTTTTTAATAAAATCTTGTTAAAAAAAGGTAGGAAAACTTGTAAAAATAATGAAATTTCTATATCTCAATTAATAGTATCATACATAATTAAGTAAACAATTTTTATGATTACCAAATTCAACGAATTTGAAAACAAACAAACAAACAAATATCATCCAAAATAATTTGTTTAACATAAACAATTTCTTATTTCCTAGCAATATTAAACTAAATCTGTTAAATGTTCTACCAAAAAAATTCAGACATTAGTCTGAATATGAAGTTGAATATGCGTTGCTGCTCTTGTTGTTGTTGTTGTTGTTGTTGTTGCTGCTGTTGTTGTTGTTGTATTAGTTTTACTAGCTGTTGTTGTTGTTGTTGTTGTTCGTACATTAGCATTTGATGAGCTAAATTTATTGAGTGCTAAGACAGTCTTCGCTAACAATGGAAGATTTCGTCGTTCCAAAATATCGGCAGAAGAGCATATTGAATTCTGAAAATTATTTTTTAATTTATTTTAAAAATTCCAAAAAAAAAAAAAAAAAAAAAAAGAGGGTTCATATTAATTTGAATGAATGCATTAGAATGTAATGAAATTAAAAATTTATTAACAAATTTCTTAAATGCAAAATGTAACAAAGAATTTTAATTATTTTGCAAAAAAAAAAAAAAAAAATTGATTGACAACGAAATATTTCGTATTGTTTCATTGAGTTTCATTTCAAATCTGTCATAATTTATAAATCGAAATAACACAAATCTGATAATTGAGTTATTTTAGGGGGGGCATTTTATAAGTAATAAGTAATAACAAGTAATAGGTGGTAACAACAACAACAACAATAATAATAATAATAAATAAATAAATAAATAAGTAGAAAAGTAAATAATAATAATAAGAAGAAAATAAGTATTAGCAATAAAAGTAATTAAGTTTAAATTTAATTTAGAGGAAAACAAAATAACAGATAATATTATAAAATGCAGAAGAGAATATTCCATCAAAGGTTAAAAGTCAAATATTAATTACATAAAATGAGAATATACACTGAAAAGGAAAAAAAATTTTGAAATTGTCTCTTTTTTTTCTAATTATTCATAAAATAATTTGATAAAATTATCGATTGAAATAATCACAAAATTTTTTTTTATTTATGAAAAAATTAGAAATGTCTTTTCTTTTAAATAAGCAAAATAAAAAATTAAAAAAAAAGAATGAAAAGAGAGAGAGAGAGAGAGGGAGAAAAAAGAAAGGAATGTATTTATCACATTGAATTTCAAAAAAGAAAAATAAAATTTTTTAAATTTCAATGAAATATACTACTAAAATTACAGTTATTATACACTGAAAAAAAATTAAAATAAGCAATTAATTATTATTTATAAATTATTTATGCTAATTCCACTGTAAATAAGATAATAAAAGCATGTATTTTTTTGATGTAAAAGCAATAAATAAATAATACTATAATCCTTTATTTAATTTCAAAATATAAAATTTATAAATAAGAAATTAAAAAAACGAAAGAAAGAAAACGGAAAGAAATTGTTATTAACAATTGAACAAGAATAAATATACATTGTAGTTACTAATTAATCTTTTTCAATTAAAAATAGAAATGCAAATGAATGATTATTATTTGTTGCATCACTAATTTAATTACTTTTTTATAATCATTTCAAAAAATTGAAACTTAAAAATAAAAAAAAAAATTATTTATTCAAGTTACTCATTTCATTCTTTTTTCTGTCTTTTATTCTTTACCATATAAATTATCAAAAAAAAAGTGTTAAAATTAAGAAATTTTAAATATTAAATATTTTTTTGTCAAAGGCTTTGCATAAATACTTTTTAACTTGAATAATTAGAGTAAAATAAGGTTACAATTTATTTCAAATGATTATATTAGATTAAAAAAATGCAAAATATATGTTACAATTATTACAAAATTGATATGATTAATCCATGTTTTTGTGACTTAATTAAAATGTTACGACAAATTAGTGTTAGATTTGAATTTTAAATTTAATTCCTAAATTTATCAAAAAAAAAAGTGTTGCAGGAATTTAGAAAAAGTTTTAAAAACTTTCATTTGAAATTGTACATTGTTAGCAAACAATTCATTAGCGATATTACAGGTAATAATCACCTGGATGAAATAAATTTCATTTAAAAATAGCAATACAATAAGTAAATTAAATAGTAATTAAACATATAATTATTATATAATAAAAATGGTAAGTAAGAATGAAAATGCATGCATTACATGTCACATAAGAATCACTTTTTTTCATCGATTGATCGATCGATGGATCAATCAATTAATTAATCAATCAATCAATCAGTGAATAAATCAATCATTCGATCAACGAATGAAAAAAAATTCTAATATCAAAATTTATAAATCAGTGCGAAACATAAATATGCGACGAAGACTGTTAGCATTGCATTGGCCAACATTCTATCGTTAAATTCAAATTGTAGTCGTCCGTCAAATAAAACCTGAAAACTTTTTAGCTACCAAATATTGCAAATATATTTTTGCTTCCAGAAAAAAAAATTTTTTTTTTCCTATCACAGCCATATTTTGCACAATAAATAATTATCAATAATTAATTCATAACATGCATACATGCATGCATGCATGCATGCAAAATTAAATTTCATGTAAGAAACACATATACATGCAAATTTAACAACACTGCAAACGCTATTGATTGTTTGATTTATTTATTTTTTGTTAAAATAGATATGATAAAAGAAAATTCCTGAAAATTGCATCTGATAAGTGATTATTATCATTTTACATAATTATTATTATCATTTTACATAATAATTCTTATCATTTTACATAATTATTATTATCATTTTACATAATAATTCTTATCATTTTACATAATGAATCTTATCATTTAACATAATGATTATTATCATTTTACATTATGTGATTATTAAGTGATTATTATCATTTTACAAATAAAAAAGTTGACAATTTTTATTTTAAGTGAAAAAAAAAGTTTTGAAAACAAAAGAATATGCAATTAATTTGTGCAATTAATATTTGCAAATCTTTGTTACCTTCAAGTGCATTTAAAAAAAAAGTAAGTAAATTTTACGTGAGTAAACTTCACGTAACTTACTTAAATGCAAATGTATTGCAGACCATTGCATGCTACATGCATTATACATTTCCGTCATAGTTGCAAACTTAAACATACTAATTAATTCACTTATAAAAAAAAAGGCATAAAGTCATAAAAAATTAAAAATTTTAGAAATTTATAAAATAATGCAAAATTTATAATAAAACTTTTTCTTTTTCAATTCAAAATAACATTTGATAGCTTGCAGTGTTCTTAATTTGAACGAATATTAAGAAATTATTATTATTATTATTATTATTACTATAAAAAA